ACCTTTCCAAGGTCGCAAAAACAATTTTTTCATAAGACAAGTTTGATGTAAAATTTTCCGCTCTTTCGAAATCCGCAGTCAAAAATAGGGTGTCCCATTAGAAAAAACCATCGTGACCTTGAAGTAACCTTCAAAATTGACCTCAAGGTCAAAACCAATGGTACAATTGAATGACCCCCTCTGTCCTGGTCAACTTTTATCTAAACCATTTTTTTGTAGATACCGTAATTTGGAAGATATTCGGATCCATAGACTAAAATGACTCACCCTGTATAATAATGGAAGGTGGTCACGATTAAATTTTTAGAAAATGACATGACATCGTGCTATAGGCGCCGCCCTGTGTAAGTAGGTACTGTTAAATTGCGTTATTACAAAAATATTACATTTGAACATAATGTAATCATAGCCTTTGAAATCTCAAATATATTATAAAAATCTAATGTCAGTCATCGTCATGTCATGCATCGTAAAGAAGTTACAAGATCATTTGGTCCAAAAGTGTATGAAATTATGATTCAAAGCATCTAATATTTTTGTTACGATTTTCACATGAGACAAATTAATAACATCAAATTATGTAAAAACTTGGTTGAAATATTTTTTTCGAATGTTGTTGGGCTACATCCGTATTACTATTAGACTCGCGGAGTGGACAAGGTTTGAATATAATTGCAAAAATAAGACAAAATTCTGCAACGCATGTTGTTTTCCTAACAATTTTGGACAGTACAACGGGAAAAATACAGCCATTAGAAGTATACTGGATGATCGGAAATTCCCGCATTCGGAGTACAAGACATGATACTTTGTGCTAAAACAAACAACTTTTTCCTTTAGCAAAATTGCGTCCGAAAAGTAGTTTTTGCAAAAGAGCGTGTTAAAGTTAACGAATAAGCGGTCTTGTCTAAGCGGCGCTCAGGGCCGGCGCGCGCGCCTTACTCGCGTGTACCTAGTCTGTGACTAGTATTCATAAGTAATGTCTTTTAAGACGCTCATACGGCTCTGTTTTGATTAGTTTACAACG